TGAGGGGGGCACTGGGTAGGGGAGGGGGGTGGTGGTGGGCAATGTTCCCTCTTAACGTTTTCCATCCATGTGTGGAATACATTTTGTTATGCGCACCCAGGCATGTGTGGATGTGCACTGCCAGTAGAAAACCCATGCTGGTGCTGTGGGCGCTCTGCTAATCAGCTGGGTGGCACCTGACTCTCTCTTGGGTGGCCATGCAAGCACCCAGCTCCCAGGCAACTCTGGTGGCGGGGGGGGCTGTTCTCTTTTCCAGGGGGTGGGGCAAATTCTGTAGCTTCTCCAGAATGTAGCGCCCCACCAGTGCTCCGCTCCCAGCTGGCCTCTGGATGCGGGATAGGCAGCCTGTAGAAATAGAAGCCGAGCCACACAGCTAGGAACGAGGCCAGAGAGATGCTGTTGCTGTTCTATTGTCATTGCTCCTCCTGTGACTAACAGGGGAGTCCCTGCTTGGCTCTGCCTTTGAAACCTGCTCTTGGGTGGGTGCCCCTTCCCTGTCCATAGCATGGCCAGGAGTGGTCCCTGCTAGGGAGGGAATTGTAGAGTTGACTAACCGGTCAGCAAAAGCTTAGAGGTTAGTGCTATAGACCTGGCTTGCGCCGGATTCTGGACCTCCCCCTGCTGCGACTCTGCATTTAAAGTGTATTAGGAGCCAGGCGGGCAGGTAGCCCGGCTCAGTTCTGGCTCATTCTAGGTCTGGGAGATCAGACGCACGCCCCCAGACAGGGGCGGCTGCTGCTGCTGCATCGGAGGCTACAGTGCGGGGCGACAGGTAGCTGGTCTGTGAGGGGAGCTGGTTTTTAAACTGGCTCCCCTCACTGACCAGCTCCCGCCTGGCACCCCACGCTGCTGCCTCCTTGGGAGTAGGGCCGGATTGTACTGGCTGCCGGCCCCCACCCTGGGGACTATAAAACAGTCGAGTATCATAGAATCATAGAGCTGGAAGAGACCTCAGGAGTCATCAAGTCCAGCCCCTGCCCAAAGCAGGACCAATCCCAACTCAATCAACCCAGCCAGGGCTTGGTCAAGCTGAGACTTAAACACCTCTAGGGATGGAGATTCCACCCCTCCCTAGGGAACCCAGCCCAGCGCTTCCCCACCCGCCTAGGGAAATAGTTTGTCCTAATCTCCAACCTAGGCCTCCTCCACTGCAACGTGAGTAACCGATAAGAATTCATGAGGTTAAACGACTATTCAATTAACCGATATTTCACATCCCTGGTCCCTACCAGGTGGCAAGTTCTCTTTCGTTATTACAATTCCAGCCCGCGAAACAGGCTGGCCAGGTTAGTGGAGTCTTGGATGTTGCTTTCCAACAAACAGCTCCCTGGTTCTCCCCCACCGCAACTGCAAAGCTATGGAGCAAAGGCCAGAGTTTGAGGTTAAACGACTATTCAATTAACCGATATTTCACATCCCTGGTCCCTACCAGGTGGCAAGTTCTCTTTCGTTATTACAATTCCAGCCCGCGAAACAGGCTGGCCAGGTTAGTGGAGTCTTGGATGTTGCTTTCCAACAAACAGCTCCCTGGTTCTCCCCCACCGCAACTGCAAAGCTATGGAGCAAAGGCCAGAGTTCTAGTAGCTTTGGGGAGGGGAGGCTGCCACAAAGGGGGCCCTCCCCCGCCCCTGGTTCAGTCCCAGCTCATGCTGGGTCCGGGGGCTAACC